GAAGTAAATAAAGGAATTAGGTGATTTAGCTGAAATTAGGCATTTGGTTAGATCATTCTTTATTCTGGCCGTACCTCTAATTATAGCTTTTGTCTCAAACAGTGAAATACCATCTAAATATTGACCTTACCCAAATTCAGTACCAGTTTCTTTAGATACTCTTTTGCTCTAGCCTGCTTTTTGACTTGTCTTCAATCATGCCACTCACTGATGCATTGCCAATCTGATCTCCCTTTCCTGCTGTGAGGTCGTCTCCAGTTATTACCCATTCTCTGTGCCTATTAGAGAAACGCTACTCAACTATAATAAAAGGAGATAAACACCACAAATTGTAACCAAGCATTCTAGCTAGTGTTGTGTAGTGGATACCTGGTCGGTTTTGCTATCAAACAAAACCCAAATGGAATGAAAATTGAAAAAGACATCTGACAGCCCAAAATCTGTAGTTCTTTCAGATGGTGGTGCAACAGAGAATACTAACAGCATGCCATTTGAAGCATGGTATTTTCCTACCCTTAGTTGCAATTCACTTGAAAGCTTGAAGTAATTTTAGTATAATCCATCATTTATCTGAAGATAAGGCCACAAATGATTAGACCAGCCATTCTATTCCATATGTGTTTTGTCTCAAACAATCCCAGCTGCTAAGACTTAGAGACAAGATAACCTCTTTTCACTTGTTTCTTATAGCTGAGGTAAAAAATATGAAGTACAAGTATCATAACTCCCCTTGTTTGTTAGATTTGTTAAATTCCATAAAATGTTCAAAATTACACGGATTCTTCTAGGGTACATATGTCTTTTTTTTTTTTTTTTCCAAATAATAAGTTTCAGAAGATGGTAGAGAACATGGTATGAGTGCTCTGAGTACAATGCCTGTTAGCGAAAGTGATCTTAAGAGACAAATTTGTTGATGGAAAGGCAACTAAAAGAAATATTGTGGTTAGCAAAAGCTTACTGACTTGCTTTTCACTGCAGGGTTTTTAGGACCAGAAAGAGGAGACAGAAAATGATACTGTGATTGGTAACTTTCTGTGTAATAGCAGCTTTATATAAGAAACCAGCTCTGCTGCTGCCTTTCTGATCTTCGGGCTATGCAGTGTTTGGGCCTCATGCACAAGGTCAATACAACTTTAAGCCCTAAGACTAAATTATGTTGCCATCTATTCAAACCTTCCAATGTATTTGAAATCACTTTGTGCATACATGCCAAAATATTTACTTTGCATAAAATTTTAATTCTAGGTAAGTAGATGAGGTTCAATTCTCAGCAAGAGCAACCTGTTTATTCCTATTAACATGGCAGAAATTAATCCTACAACTGTGAAAAGAACAAAATAAGTCTTCCCTCCATTTTCCCCTAAGTGATCCACATTTTCCATTTTGTTGTCAGAATTCCACGAGATGTCTAAAAATTTTTTTGTGATGCTCTGTAATCTTATCTTATCTAGGTTCTCAAACCTGATCTTAACAATGCAGAGGCTGACTTTTAAAAATACCTTAGTCTCACTTAGAATGAGCTCTCCAAAAATCAGACCTGCTATCCAGGAATACTGCAAAATTGTTAATTAATATTTGAAAGGAACACATGGTAGAAAACAACATCTGTGTCACTGTACTTCGGATGGAATTGTTGCACAACTGAGAGCATGAGGCACAAACATCAGCAGTAAGCTAGATAAGTCTTGAAAACTGAAATGTGATTATCCGAAGGCTAGAGATTTAGTAAAACATGCAACAGTCTGCAATACAAGCAGGCTGCCATGGGCTTGTAGTGACCGGGCTATACCCCGACCAAGTCCTCCCAGCTGTAAACTGTAAATCTTACCATCCTTGCAACTCTGAAAGGATTCTGAAATGATACTTCTGTTTCTGGAGAGAGATGATTGCTGAATTGCCAGTATTGCAGTCAGAAATAGGTGAGGGTTTTATTTTGCTTTGCTGTCCACCCCCCCTTCCCCTGACTTAGCCATCTGGCCACTTTCTTTGGCATATCTAATATACTGCCCAAGCAGAACTATTCATATGCCGATGGATCTTGGTAACCTGTTTCCCTAACTCAGCTTTAGGTATGATACATTCAAATTAAATTTATCCTATTTCTCCTCTTATAGAGGTGTCTCCTGGAAGATAATCATTAAGTTCAGCTAAAAAAAGCAAAAGATTAACCATGTGAGTCAGATGTAGTATTTGATTAAAATAATGCATAAAAAAATCTGTGTTCTCTATCCAAGTCAAGACAGAACATGACCTTTTATGAACTCACCGAGGCCGAAAAGGAGACCTGAAGTGTGAGGAACATAGATACATGCCAACCACTCAGAAACAATTGGATGCTTCTCACTGTGTGACTAGATGCCCTAAAATGTGGGCAGTAGTAGCCACAAGAGAGATTATGAGTATTTCTGGTGACACTAGTAGCTTCTGGATGTCAAGAAGGTCCAGAGAAAAAAGAGAGATAGTGAGCAAATGAAAGTAATTTGTGACTGCTTAAAACATTTCAACTCATATTATACTTCTGCATAAACAAGAGTTTAACAGTGTAATGAGAGTTTGTAGTTTATGGAACTTTAAGTTAAGATATTAGTTACTGGAGCTGTAGTAAGGCACTATAAGGCAGCGCCTGAGAAAAAGACTACCCAAATGTCTTCCTTTAATAAACACAGAGGATAAAATTACCACAGTGCAGAAAATTTAGGAGTGCAGGAAAATGCAGTGAGAGCCCATTATCTGAAATAAAATTTTTAACAAGAATCAACTCTGACACATATCTCCATGTCTGCAAACACAGTCTGTACGTTTCAACAGAATTTATTCTAGAAAGTCTAAGTAAATCACCATGTTTACATTCTGCATCTGCCTCTGTTTTTATAGTTCTACAAATAGCAAAAAGAAATTAGATGCATTTTCAAATATTTAATACAATTAAAGATAATTCATTCATTGGGTAACACAAATACAAATCACACATCTTCTTGATCTAAGTGAACTGTAAACAGCAGGTTGTGGAGTTGTGACATTTTAAAATGAAAGGCAGCACTCTCCTCGCTTCTGCAGTGCTGTGGATACTGGCATTTCAGGCTGGTACTTACTGCCTTTCAAACCAGTAACTTCTAGCTGCAGTTTGCACATGCTCTCCAACCCCAGCAAGGTACTGTTTCCAAGTAGGAGGACAGACACCCCACACCATTGGAAATGGCAACACTTCTGTTCTCCTCCTGTGTGAGAATTAACTGTTTCCATTAACTACCTTGACAAAAGTAAGGGAAGAATGAAACCAACTATATAAAAATTTAATTATAAATACGACTTCTTTTAATCATACAGGACCGGTTTGCTTTCTCAGTTTAGGAACATAAACTGGTCATAACTGATTTTTCTCTGCTCTGTAGTTCAAGTTGTAGACAGGAGAAGTGTATAGAAATACCACATTCCTGATAGAAAGGTATATAGTTAAAATTCGTAATACATGAGCAAAAGCTTAATTTGTAGGCACTTCATCATATTTTTGAAAGATGCTGTAATTTAAAAGATTATGGTGGCAACAAGCAAAATGGACTGCCATCGTTAGGAGGGTGAAACATTTGTTTGACACTAAAACAGACCTAAGAGAGCCCTTCTACATCACCAGGGTAATTACCTGCTTCAGGCCATACCCAATCCTCCTACTGAGGCAAAAATCTAATCGTGTTAGCTGTGTGTGTTCATGCAAGGGAAAAGAGATGAACCCCCCCGCACCCCCAACCAAAAATCTCTCTTTACCCTCATCCATTCTGGGGGCTTGTGATTTTACTGAGCCCATTTACTAGTCTGTCCCATGCTATGCAACACAATCAAACCAAATACTGCTACTTACGGAAGTGATGGAAATTTACAGTGAACTGTAGCTCTGGACATAATCCTGCTGTTGCTTACTGCCATACATCTCATTAATTCTATTGGGTTCGCAGAAACATAGAAATGGGCGTAACTGAATCCTGCAGATTTAATGCTTATACATACTGTGATCCCATTGATTTAGTTACTGATATGCCAGTTGACTTGCTCAGAAGAATATAGGACTTGTGTGCCTGTCAATAACTGGGAACATTTTAGGTGTTTTAATGTATGGGCAGTGGGGGTACAGTAGATATGTTACAGGATTTCATCTGAACATGTTGAAGAACTCCAGTTTAATTTTTAAGAGCCCAAGCTAAGTTTAGAAGTTGGCTGATGCTGGGGGGAAAGGGGGAGGGCATTTTAACTTTTATTAACTAAAATTTAATCTCTGGTCGTGGATCACTCTTTTTTTTTTTTTTTTTTCCTGTAGAAAATGGATAAGTCTGGTTATGGAGAACATATGCTACACAATTTACATTAAACCAATACTAGTTGATAACTGGTGGAAGTTGTATTGCCCATTGGACTGAAAAAAAAGAAGTGTTTGCACAAGTCTCAAAAAATCGTCATCATTGCCTTTGGTGAATTTTGGTTAATTTATATCATGAGCCTAGTACAATAATAAAAATTTCAAATGCTCATCTGATCCAGACCAGAGACAAGAGGGCTGCCTCTTGCAGGGTGTTGGGAAGAGCCTCGATGGTGAGACGGTGTAACTGCTCCGAGCGCTGTGCCGTCTGTCAACGGGTGCCTGTGCTTTATCTTTAACCTGCTGACAAGACACGAGAGCTCACACACACGGCCCGGCCGTGGGTCTGCGGGACATTTAGCTGTCACCCGAACAGTTACGGGGTGCGGGCTTGGCGCGCAGGGCTCCTGTGCCCGCGCTTCGTCCGGAACCGAGACTCCCTCTGCCCCCGTCACCTGAACCAAGTGTAAACGCAGCAGGAGGCTCTGTCAGGCACCCCACACCCCCTCCTTCCCCCGGGGGCCAGGCAGCGTGTTGCCGGCGCGGGCGCGGGCGGGAAGCGGCGGAGCTGCCGGCGGCGCAGCCCGCGGCGGGCGCGCAGGGGCCGCTCCGCGCCCGCGGAAGCCGGGGCCGCCGGCGGGACGCGCCTTACCTGGCTCCGCGGTAGGGCCGGCCTCGGGGCGGCCGCGGCTCGGCTCGGCTCAGCTCCGCACCATGCTGAGCTCGGCTGGGCCGGGCTCTGCGCGCTCTCCCCGCCCGCACCGCTCCTCCCGCTCCGCGGCGCGGCCCCTCCATTTATAGCGAGGGGCGTTGCAGCACAGCCCAGCTCGCCCGCTGTCTCTCCCCACCCATCTCCCGGGACAGACCCCTCTGACCCGTCTCCCGCCCTCTTCCCCCCGCTTTCCGCAGCCCCCCACCCGCGGTGGTGGTGGTGGGGGGTCCGGCCCGGGTCGCCCCGCCGGGCAGGACGGGTGTCCCCCGGCGCTGGGCACCGCCGCGCACAGCCAGCGCCCAGGGACCCGCGGCTACTTCGCAGGCTGCGTGGGGAGTGCTGCGTGGGTAGTGCGAGGCGTGGGCGCGGGACGCCCGCGCTTTCCTTTTGCCTTCAGCTTTCTGAAGCAGGGGCCACAAGCGGCGTACAAACATTTCCAGTTCTCTGGGAATCCCCCGGGCTGCGTGTGAGCACAGCTGAAATGTTCAGATCATCGCTAGTGAAATTGCAGTGTGTGTAAAATAGCCACGATAAATCTGTCAAACTTTATTCTCTGGGAATAGAGGGGAGAAGGAGTCAGGTTTGTTAAACCCCCTTGGAATACACGTCCTAGCAGGTGTGCTCTTCGTGTCACTGCTGACTGATGTAAAAAAAAAAAAAAAAAAAAAAAAAAAAAAAAAAAAAAAAAAAGAAGACTTTGTGTATGCGGGATTTCGTTTGTTTCTCTCTTTTTTCTTGATCTGGTGAACAGGACAGGGAGCAACTTTTCAGACGGGATTTCTGAGGTTGTCGTGCTCATCAAGAACAGGATTTCAGAAGTTCTGTTTTGTTTTAGGATCATCTGACCATAGTTATGGACAGATACAATGCTTCCAAAGGGAACTGCACAATTGCAGATTGCTTTCTGATCTTTTTAAACCACTAGTGTGTTTTTGAAGGCCCTCTTAAGGAAAGCATCGTGACCTAGGATGGTAATATCTTTTAAGGGTTGGCACTGTAACTTTATTGTGGCTAACAGTAATTAGGATCTACTTAGTGGTAGAGCTAGGAGAAGGCAAATCAAGAGGAACCATTTGGATTCTGCAGCAATAACAACTTTATCTGGAATAATAATTGCTTTTCAGCATCTGCACATGTATAATCAGTAAAGTCTTGTCTGGCTATAATTTGTTTTTGAAAATCTGTTAGCTAAATCAGAGGTTTGGATGTAGAACTGAGAGGCATTACATGAACTTAATTGTTTCAGGCTGTGTCCTGATGAACCACAAGCGTGTTAGATGTAGGCAGTGATGCACCTGTGACATAATCTTTTGCTCTGATCTTATTTATGTTGTGTCAAGAAAAATCACCTGCATTTTCACCAGAGTGTAGTCAGGATCGAAGCAGTCTCTGTTGGCAGCACGATACCCTTTTGCCACTTGAGTTTATAACTGGCTTCCTCTCTGAGAAGATTGTGCTGAGATATTTTCTAATAATGAACTATGCTCATGTTCACAGATTTATCATGACAGGGGCTGGAAGCCACTTGCCAGTAAGTACTACTCAGGCCTCCACAGTCCCTGAAGCTGGCTACAGCAGTGTACTCTTTCATTCCCATGTATGTTGTTGGCTGTATTACATGGGGCTTTTGACACATGCGACACATTTATTCTATCCAGTTCTTTGTACATGTGTGACTGATTACAAAACTCTACTGAGTATCAATGTACTTGGCAGTTACTGCACAATTCTGCCTTTGTCTGTTCTATGGTAAAACCTGCTGGATGGAGCTGGTGGGGAGGAGACCTCCATAAGGTGATGCTTGCAGGGATTTGTCCTCTAGTGGTCTTTCAGTTCTCCTAGAGATGACCTGAAGCCAATTCCCACTGTCAGCATCAAACACTGGCTACTTAGAGTCACAAAATGCCTCTGGATGTGTGAATCACTGCCTGGGGTCAGTTGTTCCCTTTATTACTTCCATTATCCTTTCCCTTCAGGAAAGTGATGGGGAAAGTAGATGATAACTGTATTTTTAACCAGAATAAAATTAAAAAAGCTTCTTTTTAAATTGGATTATTTTTTTTTTAAGATGCATGTAAAATTGAATTTGGGTCTGCATCTCTCTGTTGAGTTCAGTCCATCTCTGGTGCATGTGCACAAGAGAGATGTAATTTCATGTAATTTTGGGAAAACCTCCTCATTACCATCAGTTTTGTGTCTGGAATCCTAGTAACTGAACTGTAACATGATGAGGACTGAAACATGCACTCGCTATAGAAATGTGATTTACAGGAACATCCAGTGAATAATAGACTTGATGACTAGAATTCTGTTTTCATTGAACTGCTGTAAATAAAGAGGCTTCTTCCCACCAGAATTGATTGAGGTGTCTATAATGTGGAAAGGGCTTCAGGGAGCAGGTTTCATTCTACTGCTTGTGTTAGAGCAAACAGCTGTCATTAAAAAGGTGACTGGACTAAGCAATTTGATTGCTATCAACTCAGATAGCTCTTCTAATAGCAGTGTTTATTAAAATCACTAGTACTATATTGAGAATAAATTGTTTAAAAGAAATCTTCATTAGGACCTCAAAATTATATTGCCTTTAAAACCCTCTGATTTTTAGTAAGTAACATGTTTAGAATGAATCACATCTGAACATTTTGGTTGTGTTTTTTTTCACATTTTCAAGTTTGTTTTTTTTTTTCTGCAAGGATTAGAAGTAGAAAATTATTTTCTTTGTTGAAAGCTGATGTACCATACATAGATCCATCCCCATGCCCCTGGGTGTCGAGAGCTGGGCTTGAGGAAAACAACAGGTTGCGAGATTTGTGGCATTCTGCTTCTGTTCATTGTATTCTTTTGTATGTATTTCTGATACATTTTTCCACTGTTGCTTCTTTTGGGAAATAGATCGGACTTTTGCACATAGAATATAGCTGTGCATGTGCTGAGAAGAAAATTAGTAATTCAGAGCTAGGTCTTTGCCTGTAGTGGAAACCTGTACATGTCTTGGTAGCAAGCTGATTTGAGTATGCTGATGATTTGCCTGAAGCTAAGGAAACTTACAAATGTTTTTTAAGGAACACTTCTTGTCACTCCTTCTGCTATAATGAGTATTTCAGTCCTTCCTGTTTACATATCTAAACCTCTTCTGACAAAAGGGACCAAGAATTGGTCCCAAGTCAATGCATCTATTATTGAGAATTTTAAATCCTTTTTTTTGTCAGTGAACTGTTTTCAGAGTGTGTTCCCTTCCTTTGTGTCTACTGCAACTGAAAGTTACTGGAAAATGTAAAGGAAAGAAAATTTTGAGAAAAAGGTAAATACTGTAATTCTCACTGTCCTCTTCTTGATCCCAGACTTGTTCAGCTGAAGGAGTAATGTTAGTAGCTTGTCTTGTAGGAATAGGAATATATATTACTGTTGTCATCCACTCTTTACATGAGACCATTAGAGAACATAAGGTTTTGCTAAGCCTAGCAGACTCTACTAAGAGTAATATATATTTGTGTATGTGAGAGAAGGAGAGAGCAGGAGAGGGAGAAATGTCTTTTGGGACAAATGAGGGAGGTTTTTTGCAGACTTTTGAGCAGCAGTGGTGCTAACATCCACAAGATTTGCCTCTCCAGAGCTGTGGAAATTTACATTATTATTTTTTTCTGATGAGGTCCTTGAATAATTAAGATAGTTAATCTCTTCCCAGGAAGCTATATGCTTTACCTTCTAGTCTTCCTCAGTTTGTATGCTTTAATTGTATCCCTTATAATCACCACAGCATACAGCAAAAGATGAGGCTGGAAAATACGAAGACTCTGAGTAAGCCAGTATTTCAAATCTCAGCATTTTCTCAACACTTTGAAATTTAACTGGTTTTATTTTGATAGATAAGTAGTAGATTGACTTCTACTGTGAATTTAGGCAGCTGAAATGAATGAGAAGTGACATCCTCATTTTCTAAAGTTTATAAAATAGGGCAATTATGTACTTATTTTTATATCTAGATTGGGTTTTCCTAGGTCATTAGTTTAACAACAACAGCAATTGCTTTGGGGGTTTGGACTGTTGAATTCAGTGGCAGATATAACGTGCAATGGGCTTGGAGTGCAGGGGTTGCTGTGCGGGTGGCCAGCAAGAGCAGAGGGGCTGCCCGCTGGGTCTGGGCTGCAGCGAGACTGTACGGGACCTGCGGGTATGGAGTGTGTGCAATGCATCCAGCCCTGCATGGGCAGCTGCCGTTACTGATGGGCAAGCGGTATTAGATGGTTCTGTGGGCAGAGGAGGAGTGGACACCTAGTCTCTTCTTTATTGCTAGAGTAAATCCATGCTTTATGAAACTGCCAGGTCACCAGATAAATGCAGAACCCTGACCCTTCTCCCAGAGCTCTTGCTGCAACAGAGGAAAGCCAGCTGCCTTGGTGCAAACTTCACGTCTCTCTATAAACATTACTGGGGCTCCAGGGGAGTCAGAGGATCTGTAGGAAGCAGAGGTGACAGAGCCATGTCATTTTCTCACTGTCCTCGGAAGTGATGACAGAGAGAAGCCTCTGTTTTTTGTGTTTTTTTTTTGTTTTGTTTTGTTTTGTTTTTTGTTAGGTAGGGATCTCTAGGGCAGCAGCAAGTACTGGGCGCTGTGCTGCTGGGAAGCAGGACCTAAGCCAGGCGAGCCCAGGCCCTGCCAGGGGCAGCATCCAGGGGCTGGGCTGGGCTCCCCGAACTGGGCTCCTGCTGCTCTGCAGTCCACAACGTCAGGGAACCATAGTCAGCTCTTTGAGAAAATAACTGGAAGGAAATATAATTTGGGAGATGTTTCCTCTCCTTTTGAAGACTTTCTTAAGGATTCATGACATTACGTTCATTTTCTTGAAAATCCTAGCTGGCAATGTTGAAATACAGTATTATTCAATGAACGTTTACTACGCTCTTACCTCATTTCCATGGCTGCACTTTTAGTTAGAGAAGCTGCAACTGATGCAGTGCATTCTTGCCTCGGGTGTGGGCACAGGCCAGACATGTGGGATGTGGAGACAAAATGCAGGGAGGCTAGATTTGCTGCTCTTGT